GATATTTACTATATATTCAGCATGATTTTGTTGTTGATATAAATGTAACATGAATATTTAAATACTTTAATGTATTTTTTTTTATTTGACCAATACGTATTCCAAAGGCTGTGCCAGTAGGGCAGTTTTGCGTCTGCTCCTAAAATTCACTGTCTTGGTATCTCAGCGATGTCTCTGACTTATGCTTCATAGGAATTATGCGTTTCTATGCAACACTTAACAGGAAAACAATTCTGTGCAATTTAAATAAGCAGTAGACAAGTGCTGCAATGCCTAAACTTAATAGCTTATTTAGTGGGATATTAGATGGTTATTAAACTCTGTGCTAGCTATATTAAACTGCATTGTATGTCTTTTTTTATTTTCAGATGATTCTTGCATTTAAGACATTAAAAATAGAGAATTATATTAAACAGAAATATTATGAAATCACTGATTAACTACATTTTACTGCTGAAGTCGCTGCAATTGAGTCTTTTCAGCATGAGGTTGCAGAAGTCAGGAGGTTGAAACTATGAGATCTACTGTATTAGAAGCAGGCTTTTTAAAAGTCGGTAAGTGTGGTAATGAACACATCTCAGAAGTAATTATTTATTATTATTATTATTATTATATGTTAGAAGTAATCATATAAAAATATGTTGGTAAATATATTTGCTATATTAGTAATATATATATATATATATATATATATATTAGGGCTGACAATCGATTAAAATATTTAATCGTGATTAATCGCATGATTGTCACGAGTTAACTCGTGATTAATCTCAACTTAATCGCACATTTTTATCTGCCCTAAATGTACCTTAAATGAATACTTTTCAAGTTTTTAATACTCTAATCAACATGGGCATGGACAAATATGGATGCTTTATGCAAATGTATGTTTATTATTAGTGAAACCATACTCAACATAGAGCATAAAGAATTCAGATACAGGTTTTCACAAAAACTAAATGTTTTTTTAAACCATTTTTAAGAAATTGAATCAAAAGCATCAGTTATTATATTAATTTAAACAATTATTATCAATCAATTATTATATTAATTAAATAACATAATAACACATGTTTTACTGGCTTAATTGTTTAGCTTTTATAATGCATTATCTTCTTGTCGATCTACCAGTTCACATTTACAAATCTGTGTGTTTGCTGCATAAAAACATGGGTGGATGTTCGCATCGGTCTGAACAAAAACAGCAGACGGACTGATTGAAATTCATTCTCTGCCAGCAGATGGCGCTGTCAGAACGGCAGAAATATAGCAGTTTCTCCGACTGTAAACGAACAGCAGCGCAGCAGCTGACTTTGAAACTTGCAGCTCTCATATTTATTAAATGAAATCATCGCCTTTTGAAGTTTCATCGTCATATTAAGCCTTATCGCAATTCTTGTCTTTCCCTCCCCAAATTTAAGACCTCTTATTATATTAATTTAAACAATTATTATCAATCAATTATTATATTAATTAAATAACATAATAACACATGTTTTACTGGCTTAATTGTTTAGCTTTTATAATGCATTATCTTCTTGTCGATCTACCAGTTCACATTTACAAATCTGTGTGTTTGCTGCATAAAAACATGGGTGGATGTTCGCATCGGTCTGAACAAAAACAGCAGACGGACTGATTGAAATTCATTCTCTGCCAGCAGATGGCGCTGTCAGAACGGCAGAAATATAGCAGTTTCTCCGACTGTAAACGAACAGCAGCGCAGCAGCTGACTTTGAAACTTGCAGCTCTCATATTTATTAAATGAAATCATCGCCTTTTGAAGTTTCATCGTCATATTAAGCCTTATCGCAATTCTTGTCTTTCCCTCCCCAAATTTAAGACCTCTTGAAATCATAATTAAGGCCACACACGCACACACACAAACATATATATATACAGTGGGTACGGAAAGTATTCAGACCCCCTTAAATTTTTCACTCTTTGTTATATTGCAGCCATTTGCTAAAATCATTTAAGTTCATTTTTTTCCCTCATTAATGTACACAC